ATTTCGGCAGACTCTCGGCAGTTACCTGGGTTACATGTAAAATAATAACCATCGAGTCACGAACTTGTTTATTCAGAGGAAACCGAAAATTAAAACGCCTGAAAATGAAACAGCGCGTGACAAAATGAGGCCAGAATACGTAAAAACCAACATTGAGCAATCACTTTTTGATTCTAAGTAGAAGCAAAATTAAGATTAAAAAGAAAGAAAAAAAAACCTGAAAAAAAAAAATGTAATTGTTTTTCTTGAGAGCTTAAACATTTCAAAGAACGGTTGTTAAAAAGAAGTCTATCCGAGGCCGCGATTATAGACCATTTAGACTTTGATGTCTCTTTGCAAATGAGTTGTTTGATGTGAACGAATTAATAAAGATTGATCCTCCATATCCCTGGTAGGCTAAATTTTAAAGATGGTTTAATTTAGCACGTTTGAGTATTATCTGCCCGGCTAATTTGACAAGGACGACCTGGACAGCAAAAGTTATATAAGCTGCATGGATGTTACGATAGGAATTCTGAGAATATCAGTACCTCAACCCAACTGCACAAATGTGTCTTAATGGATATTCTAGTAAATCAAGAATAAGTGAAAATGTCTATATTTTTATTATTTTGAAAACTAAATTGGAAGTTCGAAAGAAAATCTAATCGTCGAAGATTTAGCTGCCTGGCTTAAATACGGGCTGGATGCTCCTGGGAATCTTTTAGTACCAAGTGACTTTGAAATGAAAAATATTTAGTTAACAGATATTTCCTTAAATACGAAGACTACTCCAGCGTGTGCATTCCAAGAAATACACCGACTACCCCCATTTCCTTACAACAACATTTAAATGGGCTGTGTTTGATATATTCAACTTGCAAAACTGTGCGACCTCAGGCTGAATTATTTATTAAATCGAGCATTCAAATTCGGTGTCGTTTGTTAGTAACATCTAGCTGGGATAGGAGTCTAACGCCTCTTCAATGTCTCAGATGTATTTCACCTGTCACTCAACTTATGCCCTTATGGGTTTGATGAGGACTAAACTCGATAGAAAACGCAGCTGGTTGTCCTCGTATTTGCCTTATGATCGAACCAGCCAAGCTATCCCTGTGTCCAACGTGTCTTAAGATATCAAAGACCTCTCTTAACAAAACAGTCATAATAATGTGATGACTTCTTATTCAAGGGGAAGGAAATTGTTCTCTGTTCCTTGTGTTACTTTTTTTCCAGTCAGTTGGCACTTGAATGTTGGTAAATTCTTATACTCAGGTTTGTGACCTAGTTAGTTTATTCTCAGTCTCTACAGAAATCTACGTGTAGCCACACCCTCTCCCCCCCAAGGTGAAACGGAGGCGAGGGAGCTTTAAAATTCTGTTGTAGATAGCTATTGTCCTTAGAGTACACCATATGCGTAAAGAAATTCTTTACGAAAGTGTAGAGAAGTTCGTTAAGACGCGTAAAGAGGATCTTAACGCTTACTTTACGGCATCTTTACGGATTCGTAAATCTATAATTTCATGCCGTGCATGAAGACACTCCGTCCGCCACATTCCCTTAAGCATCACTGGGAAATGGTAGGTGCTCAGTAGCAAGTGTTCTCGACCTCGGCAACGTTTTTTGCGGCCACTCCCGGTGACGTCAAAGATAACAATAGGTTCTAGGTCTGACCGAACCTAAAACGCCTATTAGCTTCTAACTTTATTTTATTGCAACAGGATAGAAATGATTTTCCAAAGTTTTAAAAGTCATTGTTTCGAGTAATGTACCTCGACTACCTACAAATTTGCGATCGAAGTGATTTTGTTCATAGCAAATATGTAAACCAAAAATTGCACGTAATGCTCGGGCAGTTTTTAATCCATGGTTGGCTCATGATGTTTTGAAAGGCTCGAGTTATTATAAAAACTTTCCAACATCACTCGTGAACGTGAATAACGAAGTGTACTTGGTTGCACATGATTTCCACCAACACTTTGAATGGCCCTCTCATTTCTCTAGTCGTCTTCCAAATAAGCATGGCTTATTTGGAGGAGAAGGGACTTTATCCCAAGCTATTCATCATTTCTCGCACCCATCCTGCCCGGCCGCGTTGGTTAGCAACGCTTTGGAAAGGTCTGGACGGTCTATAATGTTGTTAGGATTGGTAAACGTTCATGACAACCTGGTCTAAAAACTTATTATCTTAGCTAAACAAATAGGAAAGTGAAAATAGACTTTAAAACTTAACAAGCACTGTTGTATTTCCGGCTCACCTGACACGTTTGATAAGGTTTTTTTTTCTTGTCCTTGACAAGTGAACGATTATTTTCGGCTGGACCTATGGTTGTATGACAGAGAATAAAATATTTTTCCAAAAGTTCACAGCTTCACTCCACGAGAACGTAAAATTGTTTCGCTAAACGATTTTTCGTGAGGTGAATTGGGTGAAATAAAAATCTAAGCGCAGGAAAAAAAATGAAAAAGAAAAGTTAAAAGGAAACAAAAAAACATTATTCATTTTTAGCTTAAAAATAAGAAAACAAAGTATATTTAGTCTTTCTAAACGTAACTAGATTAAAAATTGTTTTTGAAATATCAGTAAAGCGGATCAGATGTTTTTCTCAAAGAAGTTACGCCAAACTGGTGTAAGCTTTCCCTTTAAACCACCATAACTAGTCGCTTGTAATTATAAGGAACGAACATTAGTTCAGTTGCGACTCCAAATCGACGTCATATTCTTATTGAATAATTGTATATTCCAGATTCAGTGAAACTAGTGCTGTTTTGATCTCTTTTTTTGCCCGGCGTGTACCATTGGGAGAAATTTAGGAATAAGACTCGGTTTCGAAGACACATAAATTTATCCTTCGCAACCAATGCCATCAAAAACAAGTACTTTTAAGGAAATTGAACATCACTTACCAAAACTAACGGGATGTTTACTCTGGTATAATCTTTAGAATATATGCCGACAGTTTTGCGGAACTAGTGTAAAATTTTCAATGTCTTCGCTGCTAAGGTTACCATAGTACCATTACCATCACTGCAAGGAACGTTCTGATGTTGAAAGCGAAGAGGCTTAAAATGTTCGCCTGCTATCACGGAAATCTTACACATTTTCGAGTGTAATCTCCCTATACATCCCTTACCACTATGCGTGGAGGCTATCATTAACAAATTTCCACACCGATTCGGTAAAATGCGGGAGATGTTACTCAACAAATCTTTATATCTTAGGGTAACCTTCCCAATACCTGAAAAACCGTGGATTACTCACCAATTTGATTCAGTCTGTCACAGTAGACGGTGTCAAAGCAATTAGTAATTCGGATTTGATAATTTCATCAGTCCATTTTATTCGCTAAGGTAATATTGGCAAAGGTAATACTGGCTCCTGAAAAAGGTCTCAAAAGCATCTTTCGTTCACTTCCGAATAAAACTACCCAAGTTCATTGAACCTCCGCCAGGATTTTGAGAAAACAATTCATTGGTAACCATTATGATTATGTTGGAAAAAAAATGCTGAAGCGTCTGCCAGATCAAGGATAACGCATACACAGAAGGCAGGGGAGACATGGTAGCAGATGGCATTCAGGGGTATCATACACGGCACGCATATGCGCGAATTCGGGTGAGAAATTCCCACACTGCCAGTAGTCGACGAGAACGCAAAAAGGGGGAAGGGGGGTGGAGGGGAGGAGGGAAGGTCTCACTTCCGACGCTCTGCGTACCCCAGGTGAAATTGCTCATACTTCCCCTCTACAATGTGTATCAGCGGGTTTGTATTCCTGCGGAAATACGGACCTCTAAATTAATGCAGTGTCTTACTTCGGAAAATATTAATGCCACGAAGATGTGCAAGTTTTCGCGCGCCTAAATCATAAGATTTGTATGATACTGACTTTAAGAAGGACAAAATCTCATTTAGGGTGAAGGGGAGGGGGAATTGGTGGGCTCCCCAGGACCCCTTTGGCTTCGCCCCTGGGATGGTGAATGAATTTACACCCTATCTCTTCCGCGTCTCGTCTCAATCCATCTTTGACCAAAATTTTCGCTCCATGTCGAGAAAGCACTTGTTTTCCCTACTCGAGAGCAAAGCAGACTAAAACCAATTTAATAAATTCTCCTTTTAGGGAAGGTATGTTTTTTCTTGGGAGGGCTGGGGCCTCAGCGGAGAGGGCCATACATAGAGGGTCATTGAAAGTGAGCACCAAAAGAGGAGGGTCATACCTCTTTGTAAGTTATTCAAGGGGAGGGTCGCACACCTTTCCCAGAATATTTTAATGAGGATTTTTTTATGTTGCTTTCCATTTTTCTTACAGATTAAGTTTTTCTCTTCACCCACTTTGATTTAATTTCGAGTTTTATTATAAGTTCTAGGTTACATTTCTACATGTATATTATGCCATGGCACATAGTTTTCTCGGAGGACTTGTGTCCTTTTCCGTCCGTATCGAGACGTACTAGACTCAGGTATCGTTTCTTCAGCTTTTTAGACCCGTTGACTATCCGCTGCCTGATCTCCTGAATCATTTAGTTCTGAAGAGTTACCGGTTACTACTAGATCCAACAATGCGCTCTAGCCTGTCACTGTCGGACTCTGAATTTGAGTCAGAGGCTTGATGAATGTTGTTTTGACTGTCCTGCACAATAGAAGTCAAAATCTTCGGGGTCAGGGTTTTTTTATTAAAACGCAAAGGAGGGCCAACACTTTTTGAGGAAAAAAAATACCAAAATTCCCTAGCCCCCCTCCCCCCTCCTCAAGAAAAAATGTACCTTTCCTTGATACATTCGAGGCCTTAGTCGGGTTGATTCAGCTTGTAAGTTGGAGCTCAACTGAATTTCCTAATTTGAGAAAGATCTCTTCACTTTTTCAGCTACATTTAAGGCTTCCTTTTCTTGATGCAAAATTTTGTGTTTCAATACACTCCCCGCTTTAGTTTTTTTCCTCTTCCAGTGTCCGCGTCGCGAAGCACTCACGCGCAACTCGTGACTCCACCCCTCCCCTGACCGTGATGCACTAGTTCCTCTCAAACATGGCAGCTAGACATTGCTTTGCAAACGAAGCGGATTTGAGGCGTGAGGTTTGTTCCCTGATCGCCCAAAAGTCATCAGAAGCTATCAAAGATCATGGATTTTTTACGATCGGTTTTTCAGGTGGAAGTCTGCCGAAGATCGTTTCCCCCGGTCTGTTATCGCAAAAGATCGACTTCTCGAAGTGGCGAGTGTTCTTTTGCGACGAGCGGTACGTGCCAATATCAGACCCTGACAGCAATTATCAAGCAGTAAAGCAACACTTTTTAGATAAAGCTTCTGTAGGAGAGGTATTAATCATCAATCCTGATATTGCATTGGATGAGGCCGCGAAAGACTATGAATCTCGTCTGAAGAGCTGGTACTCTGGCAATGACCTCCCTTCTCTCGACATGCTGCTGTTGGGAATGGGGCCAGATGGGCACACCTGTTCTCTCTTCCCTGCCCATGCTTTGCTTGAAGAAACATCTCGCCTTGTAGCACCGATTTCTGATTCACCTAAGCCGCCTCCCTGTCGGATCACGCTTACGTATCCAATCATAAATGCGACCAAGTGTGCAGTGTTTGTGAGTACAGGAGCTAGCAAGGCCAGTGTTCTTCAGCAAGTGTTGGAGGGCGACACCACAGAGCTGCTTCCAGCTGCAAGGGTGAAGCCAGCTTGTGGTGAACTGCACTGGTTTGTTGATGATGCTGCAGCTAGTCTTTTGAAAAAGACCTGAACAATGATCGGTTCTTTAATTTTTTCTAATGTTTCTAGTGTTAATTTAAGTAATAAAATAATTCTTATCTATGTAACGTAGTTAGCTGATAGCCTATCTGTGGGTACGTTCTTGCGCCAACTGAACCGGGTGGGTGGGGTCTGAGAGGGTTAGTTAGAGGGAACGTGACAGGGAGGCCAAACTGTTCTGCTCAAAATTTCTCCTAGGCTAAATTGAGACACAAAAGCTTGTTGTTGAGGACACTTTATGAAAAACATTTAGCTCTCTTCATCCTTAGCTCAAGGATTTGAGATAACTGATATGCAGACACTTTACCAATCCTAAGGACAATCTCTTAAATATAGTTAGATAAAACTGATGGTACAGTTTCCAGCTCTTAATTTCAGTGTCAAAATGGTCTTTTCCCTCACACTGTAGTTGCTCGAGTTCCATCTTCGAGTCATCATATCCCAAATGTGTCCTGTTCCACCTCTATTGCTCACCCATCCTCTCACTTTGGTAAATCAATTTTTTTCAGTACAATCAAATTGTGTTTGTAGAAAGACAAGGATACAGAGTTATAGCCAACTGAGTAGCAAGGTTTGATACTGGAAGTCTTTAGGAGTTCAGTGATTAACTCTTAGGATAAAGACATTCTGATTCATCGTGTAAGGTCCTATGCATCTGTATTATGCTGTAAAATTGCACATGTGGATCATTGCATAAAATTAATTATTAATTATTAACCATCGATATGTAAATTCTTAAGAATATATTCTAAAGATATTCATTAGCTGGCATATGTTTCTTCTATTGTCATGACCTTAAAATTTAAATCAGGGGTGATGAAGGGAAAATTAAATGTTAGTCACTCATACAAGTTTAAGGGGTAAGGCAATCAGACTTTGCTTTATGTGCCTAACATCTTTTTTTAGCATTTTGGTATTTGATAAAATGATGGTACACACTTTAGGCCTAGGAATTAATTACTGCCTATTTGATAAATTAAGTAATGTTTGTTATTTAAATCTCAGAGCTTGTTGAATAAAATGTTATTTATTTTCAGTAAACTTTCCCCAATATTTGTCTGGTAAATTGTTTGTTTGTTTTGGCATCAAGCATGTAAGTATTTTTGGCCAGAATACAAACTTTAAAGAAACTCCACATCCTCACAACTTCAATTATCCACAACTTTAACATCCCACTTGGCACTTTACTTTGTTGTAATTAAACTTAATATCCAGATTCCTACCACTTTCTCGGGGAGAAGTTTTCAAAATAAGACAAACCTGCATCAAATGATGCAGCTGTCATTTTAAGTCAACAAAATCAGATGTTGTTATTGAAGAAATTATGGAAGAAAATACCAACCTAAAATTTTCCTGTACATGTTGCACAGGACAATTTCTTCGGAATAATCAACTTAAGAGACTGCCTAGTAAAGTAAAATCATGATTTAATCTTTAATTTGGGTTCATACCATCTTCTCACCCTAACTAAAAAACCTCACAATTGTTTCTCTTTAAAACTGATGTACACCTCCATTCCCACAGGTGTAACATTACCACATGTATGAGTATGTGGACAGCCTTAAAGTAATAGTTGATACAGGAATTAAGAATAATTTAAAACATAACTAGCAGTAGTTTATTCCAGTGCACTAGTGGATAAGGATGGACTGATAATCCTAATCATTGTTCCTAAGGTAAAATGCATATGACCTAGCCACTCTTTATCTCCTTCTAAGCTTGCATTCGTCTTCTTATCACATAAAGGTAAAGAGTGTAGTCATGTGTGGTGCCGGGCAGTGAACTTAAAGGGCACTGAACAATGGTCAGTTTCTATTCTGTTTATCAGTGTTGTTGAGTCAAGAACATAGTACTGAATAACAATTAACATTTATAGAGGAAGAAACCTCACATTTAGTGAAACAGATCACAAATGTCTCAACATCAAAATCATTATTGATATCAAATAAAAAAATCAGAAACATGCTTGTTCTCCCATCAACTTGAAGAATGGTATCAACCCATTTTTACTGATGGGTGGCAAAAATTTACATTTCATATATTGATCCGCAATATTTTAACATCAGTGACCTTTCTCGGTATACCTCACCAAGTTTTGACCTGTTCCTTGTTACAGAGTATTCACTGTACTGAGGATTTTATTGAATATTGACTTTGACCATGCTATATCCATACCAGGAATTGTATTTCAAGAGCTTTAAATATTTAGTGCTCAAACTGAAAAAGATTAAGGAAATAACTGACTGTCCTAAGAGGCCACAACTCAAATAGTATGTTGTTTTTGGCAGGGGTTGATTACAAGACTGTCCTAGACTAAACATGAAAAAAGTTTAAATGATCAATTGAATCTAAGAGGCCCATGCCTCAAGGTCTCTTAAATCATCTTCTTCTGCTGCTGCTTTAGTCTTGGCTCTGGCTAAAATTGATAGTAAAAGAAGACAATCTTAGTTGCTGGAAATAAAATCTGATTATTTCTCTTATTGATTGAAGGGGTTATTCTGAAAGCCACTGTGTTGCATCTTTCACCCTCTTCTGCTAAGAACATGTTCTGCTTTATCAGGCATGGTAATCTGCAGTTTTCTCTCTTATTTAAGCACGACAGGGAAAAGAAACTTTCAAACTGGTGGAGCAATCCTCCTATCTGTTAATTTTTCAAGAATTCCAAGCAATTTTAGAAAGTACTATAGGTGTTAAATTTTACCCCCTGAAAAGGAGAACACTGAATATACTCTAGGGTAACAAATTCAATACAATTATAATAATAATAATAACAACAACAATAAAATGACCTCTACACAATTAAGATAGTGTCAGTGGCACTCTCACTCAAAATGAAACATAGCCATAAAGAGGGCTGTGTTTTTTGAGTCAATTTTAAAATAGTGCAAGATCAAGTATCCATGTACCTCTGATCTATTACAAAATCTTTACAATCGAGTCTGTTTCTCCAAAGAGGATAATTATGGAGAACACAGAAAACATAGGCTATGAACCTACCTGGGGCAGCTGGTGGTTCTGTCTCAGGAACTGCTGGCAGACTACTTGTTCCACCAACCTCTAGCAACTGTTCATCCAGTCCCTCTTGTTCAAGTTCTTCAAGTTCATTCAGTAATTCATCCTACATGAGAAAATACATCAACAAACATTCAGAGTAAAGTCAAAATTACAACTCATCTACAAAGCCAGGAAAATACTTCCTTCAGCACTGCCTGGTACCAGTAATAATGGACTCAATCTATTGTTACATTTTATTTTGTACCAAAAATTGACTGATGATTTCCTACTATTTCTGAGACCTCTTCCCACCCCTCTCTTGCAAATTTTAATAGCCTCCTTCATATGACCTCATATTGCAATTCAACAGAAAGGTGTTTCTGTACTAGTAGTAGATAAGTTCAAAGTGGACATTTACACAAAAATCAATCTTTTCATCGTACGTGTTAATACAGAGAGCGCAACTTCAATTAGAGTTTCATGTCATTGTTTTACATGAAATTTTTGCCTAAATTTGTAGTAGATCAAATGCCTTTAATCAAAGCCTTCAATAGTTCATTTTGGTATTTGATTACCCTGTTATATAAAATCAGGAAAAACTTGCTACTCAAGTACAATTTTAACGCTGTTGTAGTAAGTATCTGTCTCGGAGTATTAAATGTTTTTTACACAGGCATTTAGACTGTTTAATTGGGTCAAATTTGTAAAAATGCTGTAGATGCAAAAATCTGATAATATGTGCAATTTCAAACAAGCACAGCATGAATTATATTGAAACTTTGCAAAAGTATCTCATAATTTTAAACATGTGCATTGTAAGTATTTAACAATTTGCAATAGATTGAAATTCTTGCATTATTTCACTTTTTAATCCAATTTTTCCCATTGGACAATCTGCACTGATACTTGAACACAACAAAAAACCAATAATGGTGATTTTGAATACCTGAATTCACCTTTGAACTAGAGTTAGAAATTAGAAAATTTCTAGAAATGTACATCTTACAACCTGCATAATGTTTGGTACTTACCTCGTCAACTTCCATTCCAAAGCCTGCTGGTTCTGATATGGCTCTGGATATTTCATCTGCCAGTTCTGTCTGTTCTTGAATGTCATCCATCATTTCATGCACATCTTCAACATCACTACCAAGGCGGAGAAAATATCAATGATAAAAAAAAGGAAGGTGAAGAAAATGGGGTCACACATGGAAGCACTGTATGGCAGAGCATCTCTGATAACAATTGACTTCTTACTACTAATTGAAAAATCCATAGGAAAAATGTTTGAAAATTGAAAATATATATAGTTTTTGGGCAGGTTTATAAAGAGTACAGTTAATAAAACAACACTCCAAGAACCTTATCTAGACACAAGGAGTAGTTATTCACAGACTATTAAAGCAATACCTCAATCCTTGACCTATTTTTTCTCAACAGAAAGTCTTGTGTAGTTGTGTACAGGTCAGACAAGTTTTGTAAACTTCATTAAAAGAAATTTGATCGGCAGTGAAAAACTCTGATCACATCCAGTTATAGCCCAAGGTTATTGAAACCTCATGATGGCAAAAAACAAACCCTTGACATAAATACAACTTGAAGCAAGGGTTTCAATAGCAGCTGGGTAATGGGTAGATGATCTACCTGCTGGTAAGGTGTTGGCTACCCACTCGTAGCCGTTGCACAAATGCCATTGTGCTCCCAACATATATGCAATTCTCTTCAACCTTTTCCAAATTGGTTGACTTAGGGGAAAAACAATGCAATATAAATTGCAATTGAAGTCACGATGTAGGAAAATGTGATTGCAAGAGTTTAAATTTTCAAATAGCCCTGTGACTTCATTAGTCCAAGGGGCTCTCTACACTTTTAAAACTACCTGCCTGCCATTCTAACCAACCTATGCTTATCATATTGTAATGATACCGCTGTGAAGTGATTGTTTTCTCACCCAATAACCCTCTGTGTAGGTGTACTTTTCACTTTCTTGGTTAAGTTTGTTATTTTGGCTGCAATATTACTGTGTGTTGTTTTACAGTAGAATTAGGTAACAAATCAGTCATACAATTCAAAACTGGGCATCATTTTCTCACTTGCAGGCAGGAGTGACCAAAATGGATTTCCTCCTACCAATAGATGGACACTATTAAGCAGTGGGGCGACTAAGTGAGAAAGAAATCTAACATTCAGAGGATATTGTACGATTACACACCAAATTGTACGAGTAAATGTCACAAGAAACTTTTGGTCGACAGTGAGAAGAGTTGTTGTTTAGATCTGGAACGTGAAAAGGTATGAACACATCCTTAACCCAGAGAGTAAATTTCCAATAAACTCACAGTTGTTGATGAGCAGATTTCAATGCTTTTGCAGCATACGACATATTTTTAAGCACTTCAGTGTTAGTGTTAGCATTCTCCAGCGCCTCTCTTTGAAACTCAATCGTAGACAACGTTCCATCGATTTGCTGAAGTTGTTTTTCGAGTCGTTTCTTCCTCTTTAATGCCATCAGAGCAGCTACAATTTGTCATCAAACATACAAATATGTTAGTAACCTTAAATTTAACGCCACGACGCCTTACGAGTCGCTAAGAAGAAAAGCAAACAAAATCTTTGCCACTGATACACACTCTGTGCTCACCTCTCTTATTTTTTGAAGCAAATTTCCTAGCTGTTTGTACTTCTCCGTCGATTTTCTTTTCTAAAAATTCGCTTTTTTTCGTCAACATTTCCTCTGTGGAGCGCAACTTCTGAATTGCCTCTTGAGTTGTTGGCGGTTGCTCTTTACTTTTTCCTCCAAAAATCTTCCACATTTTGGATCTGCTGATTATCTCACTACTTAAAAAGGTAAGAAAACAGTCTTTAAGCGGAGATATGAAGCCAAAATCTCTTTCAAAACCAGTAGGGAACACTCCACCAGCTCGTTCTTACTAAGGCCTATAATTAGGGATCTCACGTCATGTTCTTGTTTCTTGGCTTAGTAACCAGGCAAGTTGACAGTGAAGGTCTGGATTAGAGGTATTTTGCCTTCACTACACAACCGAACACACTCAAAGGTTGAGGCATGGGCGCGTTGGTCAGCCAGGCCCAAGATAGATTTTAATTGTGACAATTAATTTACAACAAAGTGGATAAGAGATACATCAAGTAACGTCCTACATGCGCCAAAGCCGGACACGTAAATCCCAAAAACCTCTTGTTAGGAAAAATAGGGACCGTGTACCCCCGACCAACTGCAGTGCCGCCACCTTTGGGGTTTTAAGGTTGATCTATAAACAATGAAGAGAATGAAGAAAACAAATCATATCAGGCTAATTACACAATAAAAATAAACCTTATGGGAAAATGCTAGTGGCAAGGCTGACCGTAGAATGCCACAAGTTTCTAAACGGTCTCTTTCTACAAACATACTACCCATGAGCCTTCGCGTACTACGCTCGCACCCAGTTCTCTGTTCCGTGTCGGCAAAATATTAATTTATGTCAATACCGATTATCACAAATTACATGTTTCTTCATTTCGTTTCCAATGTCTTCTGATTTACATTTTCATTTGTTTTTTGTTTTGAAACTTGATAAAAGCTCTACTGGCAATCAGATGAATCACATTCGCTCTTCTCTCGTCGACTGTGTTGTTTAAAGTGATGTAAGGGTTTTTCAGGGTGGCCTTTCTTCGATGACCTCCACCAATTTAACCCATTCACTCCTAAGATCTCATCACTAATTTGCGATCTCCTTACTGTCTGCCAAGCAACTCATGTGATGATAGTTCAGATAATTTGTTATTGGATCAAATAATAACCCCCAATTAACATTTTTGTTTATACTCGCCACTTGACTGCTGGATATTGTATTAATATCGTAAGAAGAAATTTTGTCTTGATCACTGATGGGAGTGAAAAGGGCAATGTGGAGGGGCGTTACGCGTCAGTGGAGAAAAGGAATCGACTGTTTCGAAAACTCATCAAACCACATAGTATTGCGCAGAAAGAAAAAGACAGATCAGGAAAACGGAACCTAAGGATAAAAAGTTATACACCGCAGTATCTAAGGAACATTTCTCTTGATCACTTTAGTCAAGCCCATTTCATCTGTGTTGCAAATCATTTCAAATGTTTGATAACCGTATCAAATAGCTACACTCGGCCTCAATGCTGTTGGGACTCCGTGCGGTTTAGTATTATTACACTAGCACAGGGGGCTCAGTCCCCCTAATAACATGGTATTTCGAGCCTTTAGATGCACTCTTTTTATATTTACTAAGTTTGGGCGTGGAGGGTAGGGGTGTTATATGGTCCATTAACACCTCTACGCTTATTTTCAATCCCCATTACAAACGAAGGTATCTTTCGCTAATTACAAGATTCTTAGCATTTGCAGAAGATGAGACTTTATTATTAAAGAAGTGAAGAACTAAACTTGAAATGGTTGGCCATTGGGTCAAATGACGACTTTAAAACTTCTTATAAAAATACGAAAACTGAAATGGTAGGACACATATAAAAAAAAATTAAGATCTAACTAGAAGACACTGTACAAAAAATTTATCGCTTTACTGTCGTAAAGTAAATCCATGAAATAACTTATATTAAAGTTCACACGGCAACCAGGTGGACAATCAGACATAGTTTGACGCTACTCTGGTTTGCAGATTTAATGAATGTAACCAAAGAAGTTACGATTCATAGACCCTAACTAAGGGCCAATCAGAACTATTACATGATATGTTTTTCCCATTTATTACTTGACTACTCAAGCTCTTTTGACGTTTTACTTTGTCATATTAGATATGAAATTTCTATCTCGAGTAGAGAAGTGTAGAGACTACCAACATAGATAGATCCAATAAGAACTTCAGTTAGATGCATATGTTACAGATACAAGCGCGTGAAAACACCGCGGGCGACGTAAGTCGCGATTGGTTTTAGTCTTGTACCACATTGATTGTAAAGCGGTGCGAGTGTTCTGTATCATTCACAGTCGGGGTGAAGTAAAGTGAAACTAATGCAATCTCAACAAACGCTTTTCATTTAAATAATTTATTTATTCTTGTGTTTTCACGTTACCATGGTCCAAACAATAGCGTAGCTCAGTCTTTCTGTTCGTAAACCACGCACAACCCACAATATTTCTAAATTAGCTCCGACGAAGGGCTAAAGTTCGAAACGTCAGCTTCAGAAACTCTTTATGGTGGCCAATTTACATTACCAATAAAGTTAATAAAACCAAGTTATCCTTAATACTTCCACCGACGCAGCACCACAGTTTCATTAGAAACTTATCTACTACTGTATTACGCAATCTTGAATTGACTTTAGACACGCAACCAGAAAATTTCTCTTCGGATCAATTATCATTTCATACGCTTCTTCCGTCCTTCCCAGTTAAGTCTATGGCAGTTACAAATCCGTTACCAAGTGTTCTTCAGGAAGCGCAGTTTTTCAAGTTGAGTTTTCTTTACGCGCGACAACATCCGTCGTGTTGGAAAAGTTTCTTCCTCTTTCTATTCAAGTTAGGTCGTTTGGTCTCATTTACAACAAGGGGCTGGCAGCTATAATTCTTAACCGAAAAATTGCATCCAAGAGTTAATAATTTTTTCTCGTTGATTTTGGTCCTTCGGTTTTTCTGAGAAAGATCCGATTTTAATATTTTCCACCTTTGATGACTTCCATTTTTTTCCTTGGCTATCGCTGTAAAATTTCAAAGAAACCTGTTCTTTAACCCTGGAGGCTTCTCTTCTGGATAATTCGCATGATAAGTCATTGCCCGCTGTACAAGTGCTGGACAAAAGGCTCTGTGAGCTGTCAGTTATTAATTTTATTTGGGGAGAGTACGTCGCACTCAAAGGTGTTTTAAATTTTTGTGAAGGCGGTAATAAATATTCCTCTCCTCTTTTGTTGTCTTTTCTTGCTCCGTAATGAATCCCTGTGCTCGTCAGCGCAACTGAGGATGCTTTTTTCCCCATCAGAGTGACCTTTTGGCGACCCTGAACACTCTCTCCTGCACAAATAATTTTGCTTGGAACTGACCTTTCTGTTTTTTGATGAATTTTCTCATTTGAGGCGAAGTCGCCGACGCCAAAATGCCTTGAATAAGATATACGAGGTACAAGGCCCATATAACCATCGGAATCTTTCAACATTTTCCCTGTTCGCCTGTAGATTTGATTCTTGTTTGATTTGAGCTCTTCGGCTTGTAGCGATATTTCCAGTCGTTCCACGACGTACGCAAATAAAATAAATCTTGGGCAATGTTAGACCTAAGGTTTTTCCAGTATTGTTCTCTTGTAGACGTCTATCCTAGGTCTAATTCTTTCATCAGTTGACCACTTTACATGGCATTCAACCACCACTTATTTTATAGCTTAAGATGCTTGATTTACAATTGTGATGTCGCCCTTTGTTGGTGACTTTCGTGCGTGTTATTCCATCCAATTTCCTGTCTTATCTTTGTTTTTACGGAAGCTATCTATGAGAAAGGTTCTTCACGTGGGAGGCACCCGATGACTCCAAGAGAAAAACAGCACGTACAAAGGAGTAATTTTCGTCGAACGCCTAAAAATGCCGTTTATGCCATTCACTTTCGGCCCAGTTGAAGCGCTTGTGTGAAACTGATGTCAAATTGCTGTGAACGAATGATTTTTCCATCAGTACTGATTTTGATTTAAGGATTCAGTGAAAGAAAATTGAGATAAATTCAGAGTTCACTGTTGTCCTTTCATTTTTTGGCGTTCGTTTGTCGGCGACGCCGAAAGAATAAGGATAATGCTTTGTCAAGAGTTCGGGGACTAAATAACTAAAGCAAGGCCTGAGGCTGATTTTGAGTTTACATATCAAGTGTTTGATAAGGTAAGTTTTAATTCGTTGCCGGTTTTAAATATATATAAAGAAACATTGTTACTTATAGACTGACAGATTAAGAAACTGATTTTCTATGGTGCGCTGAAACCGGAAAAAGCTGTGCTGAATTTGAAAACTATTATTTTTCATAAGTGATGAACGATGCCATGGAAGTGACCGGGTCGACAACTCTCATGTTATTCAGATTCTGTTACAGCTAGATTATGAATCCTTTAACTTCCATTAGTGATTAACATGAAACTTCTCTCAATAATATCCATTCAGCAAACAGGTAATGAGAATATTTAAACTTATCAGGTAGAAACTGCTATCTTGATCTAGCACCAAGTTCTCATAACTAATTTACAAGGAAATGTATAACAGTTAGAGGGGAGAATTAACAATCAGATCTTGGGAGTTAAAGGGTTAAGCAAGATCTTCGCGGTTAAAGTGAAGCGTCACGAAAGATTAGTTATGCCATATGATTGACGGATTTCTTTTTTAGCTATCTAAAAATCCTTTTCGACTTCTGATGTAAATTGAAACTTGCCTTAAGATGACTGAGATAAATTACGATCTGTTTTTTGGTTAGAAATGAATAACGCTAACGCCCTAAGACGGATGACCTAATAGTAAGTCTAATAACCAGACCTCAACCGGCCGGTCAAAATGGTCATACCGGCTGGGTCTGGGTATGAGAATAAGTGAGACCGTGCCGACGAGGGAGAGAACATGACTTTTGTAAGGAAAATCCATTGTCAGCGGTTAACGTTACAATTACATCGATCGACGATCTACATAGGAAGGATGTGAAGATATTTTTCGCTGATCCGTGGGTTTTTGCCGTGTTCAGTGTTAGGGAAACGCTATTTTTCAAGAGGGGATTCGGGATTGTAAAACTCTCTTACTTTTTGGGCTGAAGTGAAAACACAATTGTTGGAGTTATTTTAGATCCTCGACGAGCGTATCCTCGACATGTCTTTTCTGACGATTTAGATCTCAGAGCCAAAATTGTATGTAGACAAGTGGCCAAAGAGAACACGCATCAAGTATTACTGAGGATTCAGTGTGCATTAACTCCATTGTGGTATAATATATTCCAAAGCTGTCATAGCTTGTAATTACATCTTGGTGAATCATTTTTGCTTTGCAAATGACCACCTTTCCGCTGCGTTATGTAGGAGCAGAATTGATATACGATCTTGCTTAGCCGTCACCAATTATGCTTCAAAATTGCCTTCAAAACTGACACCTTTGAGTGAGATCAAGTAATGAAATTGCGCCGCTGTGGTAAAATTTAGGCAATAGGCTCTAAAGTATAATCGAGGTTTTTTTAAAAACTAGTTGAGGATATTTTTAAGGTGAATATCGGAGTGCAAGAATAAAACAGTGTATAACTTGATTTTGGGAAGTACGATTTCTGGCCGGAATGAAGACATCCTGTGAAGGCCCTCTCTACTAGAAATAGGAAATTTTCCACCTTATAATAGCAAAATTATTCCAAAAATATCGTAAAAACCTTATGTTTTATGTAAAGACCCTGTGCACGTGAGAAGAAAGGGATTCACCTTCGGGTCACGCTTTTTGTAGTAACTTTGAAATTCTAGCAAGCATTTATTGAAAGACGGGCCCAGAGCAAGTGAAACTTTCAAAGGTATAGTTTCTAGAAAATCTCAAGTTCGAAAGTAATCATGATAGTCAGTATGGTTCAATTGTTACCATTGATCAGAAGGATAAGATATTATACCGAGGGAATTACTTTTTTTCCCCGATACTAAATAAAGTGTTTGGTTTATATTTATATGATATTTCTCGATTGCTCTTGGTAAATTGCTAAACTTGTTAAAAGTATTGGAAAGAGGTTTAAGCTTTGTCCGAAAGAATCGGTAATTTGTGAATTCAATAGACCCAGAAAACAAACAGCTCAGTTTTAAACGACTAGTCGTTTGATTCTGAATCAGCAAAAATAATGAAATAACAGCTCCGAAGAAGCATCACTACGCTTGAAATAAGTTTACCGTCCCTGGTTATAAATATTTTCTTCGGCTTATACCTTTTGGCTTCAGCGTTGCCGAAGGGAAAAACTGAAACACAGCTTTGGCCACGAGACGGCTGACGGGCTTCGCAAGAGACAAGAAAAAAACAAAGCACTAGATTAAGGAAGGCCAATCGACAAATAATTCAGTCATTTGTTTCTAAAAAAATAACACAATCGATTCTCCAGCATACAAATCCTTTTATTTACAACATTATTTGATATTACAACTTCCAAAGATGCACCATATCTCCTTTATCTTCCATTTCTTTCAAGTTTAATTTGAGCTAATTATTCAGACTGCTGTGTTTATAAAAAAAAAGCCTTGCTATGAAAACCGAAAGTTCTGGAAAGTGAAAGTTTCGGTCGTTAAACAGTTCGAGTACATCGCAATCTACGTTTTCCTATGGAGATCTCCTTACAAATTTTCTTCGGAAATACCATTTTACCATGCAAAAAAGCACTCCGCTGACGGTGTATTTGTTCTTGATGCTACCTCTCATTTATTTGCTAAAAAAAATTTTTTGTCATCAGTTTTTCGTGTCATTGTTTATCATAGTTCATGATTGTCTTACTGAACAGCCAGTTGGGTCGCAAACCCTCCTTAATGGTTACAGCCGTACATGTTGAGCCAGGACTGGATAAGTGGGTCGTTACGTCTGTAGTCCAGTCTCCGGTTACCACACATTACGATCTTCCAACTTTCAGGGGCAACATCCGATGAGCTATGTCGGATAAAAAATTCTGGAAAGAGCTGCGTTACTAAGTTCTGTTCACTTCTGTCAAATTGACCTCTCTCCTCGGCGTCGTGGAACGGGTGTGACGTCACACTCACATGGAAGGTTGTTGGAAGTTCTTCACTACCACGTGTTTCGTCGAATGATCCAAAAAAATGGCATTTTTCGGGGCTTTTTAAAGCTACATCCATTCTGAAATTGAAGTGAAATTGTTTTGTAATAAAATCTAATTTTTCCTCTTTTCTAGAGTTCTAAATCCTACTTGAAATGGAATTTATCTGCTCGCGTGAGCCTCGATGAATTTGCACATTTAAAACGGAAGAACACGCTAACGAAACGGAAAATAAATGGAGAAAAAATCCACTTAAAAGGTACACGTTACTTTTAGATGCTGGTAATAATGGGAGATGAAATGCTGCAAAAGCAAGCTACTAAAAGATAAAGAATTACCTTGTCCCAAATTCGTGTGTAGTTGATTCGTGTCGCCGCAGATCTACTTAGTTGGAGTCCCGCCTGTCTATTTAGATGAGGTCTAAATTGATGCGAGTTAGAGTATAATATTGTTTTTCTTTTAATTGGTTGAATTTGTCATTCAACGCAGGTGATTCGTTTACTTAAGGTCTGATGTCGTTGCAAATGAATAAATTTTAAATTGTTTTGTTGTCGCGTTCAAAATAATACAGTCGATACAAAATGTGCGAATAGTCAGCAAGCTTCAAACAAACATTTCGGCAAGTTATTTACGTCAGTTAAGAAAAACACTACTCCGTCGTTATGAGAGCATTTTATGAATTTTAGTTATCGCACTTAATTTCAGAGAGTCGGTAATTTGAAACTCTATTCAATTGCGGCTCCTGCTGCTTGCAAATTTAGGCCAAGTATTCACAGGAGTTTCGATAGAGGCCGGTTATCAGCGGTTTACCGTCACCGTAAGGCCTCAGTTACCGCCGTCTATTTCGCCTGCGAGCAAGCTCCCGCATTTGGGTTTCGCCTAACAGGCCCTTTTCTTGGCACAGACACATACTCCACCACCAACAACCGTTTATGGAAAAGTTATTGAAATCCTTGCATTAATCCACACTAATTGATTTTTTTTTCTTTCTCGGCTCAGGTTGAGGTCTGGAGGAGATCATGTTAAAATTCTTCACAGCAGTAGCAAATTAAAAAACAAATTGTTCCAACGAGAATCATTCTTTAAAAAATGGATCATATTTCTGTGAGGTTTTTTCTTTTACCTAAGAGACCGTTTTTCTTAAAAAAAGATAACTATTAGCAATCGCGTAAGATTTTAAGCAGCCTTTTCTTGAGAAATACGAGCACGTGTCTAGTACTGGAGTTACTTCCGACATCACGTTTTCATTGTGAGCTATTGTCTCTGATGACTTTATTTCCGTTGATGTTTTTGTAACACGCCCTGCCTCTGCAGTCCACCGCTATCGTACGAGCTTCGGATTTCTTCCCTAAACTGTTTGGAATATGTCGACTGTTTCTCTTATTTCACGCATAAAATGCTATTTTGGCTCCATGCAAATTATCGCTGGTAGTACCATTGTCAGTTCTCGCACTCTTAATATTATTGTTTCTCACGCAACAAAACAATTCTGCCGCAGATGTTTTCTCCTGAAGGGTCATTTTGTTCGACTGTTTTGAACCTTTCAATGCCCGTAAAAATACATTACAACTGGAGGGCAACATAAAAGAAACTCACACCTGGAGGCCGAATGCATACACTTCGTCCTTCTGTCTTGTTCGTCTCCCACGTTATTTGTACAGGACTGACAAGAATCTATTATCTCAATAACATCAGCTTTTTCCATATTATCTTAAAATCACTCTCAATGACAAATCTAGAAAAGTCTTACTGTAACAGTTTCACCCAGAACGTTTGATGCCTGATCTCTGGTTTAAAAAAATTATTTTATATTTTATCAAAGATCTTAAAAAACTAATAAAATGTAAATCTTCGGGCGCATCTCTTAAATCTGACGAATTTTTTCCCGGCGAAATAAAAATTAGTGTAATAATTGTAGGCCATACATAAAATGACTATTAAGGAATTAGTCAGTTTCACCGTGTTCAATATTTCATATTTTACTAATTCTTGTTCAGTTTTTTACTTCATTCGCGTCAGTAAGGTCAATCTACATTCCATTCAACTACTAAACCGCTTTGGGCAAGCAATTACCCTGGCCTAAATTGGAAAGGCCTCGAAATCAATATTTAGTCAAGACGAATGATCTACCATCTCACTTCCTACATTTGAAGTTGTATGTTTGATAAGCATCACTTGTTTCTAGCTTGAGATGGTAAGTATTACAATAAATTGCAAGACAATGCATTTCACTACTGCGGTTGAGGACTATCGTGTTGCACTAAAAAATGTGATGCTAGCGAGTTAGAGTCAAGTTATGAATTCGGATTTAGAATAAAGCAGGCGAGGATTGAGCTAAAATTGGACTTTTGGCGATTAAAAAGTGCTTGAGGCATTTCTAAGAAATTCTCTTCTTTTATTCCCAGCTATCTTTTCTGAAGTTTATTTTCCGGGGTTACCTGTCTTCCTAACTGCATTTGGCTCGGAACTAGTCGTACTTCGTGTCGAGGAGAGGTTCCCGCGTGATGGAACAGTTCTAAAACCAATCCAGCTTTATTTTCCGCTTTTACACCTGACTGCATAAAAACTTCATTTAATCTGCTAATTCAAATTATTTCCAATTGCACTGGGGTTCATAAAAACCTTGTTGACGGCAGGCGGTTGAAGCGGGTATCAGATCTTCATAGTCGGCCCTCTGTTGACTCTGTTGTGGGAGAATGTGTTTGGAATTCAACTAACGAAGAAAGAATTAAAACTTTTCCCATTCTAAGTTTTCTCGAGTTCGTTTTGTCCACTGGCAATATAGATATCTTAAACAGTAGGCCACGCAGGATCTTGTTAATCTAAACTTTACTCATTTATGTATATAATCACGTTACAGCTGGTAGCCTGCACGCTACCGCTAATGTCATGTTCTGCTGTTGTATTTTAAAAGCAATTCATGTTTCCGATTTCTTGCTGAAAATAAAAGTTAGGATAGAACATTCGATTTTTTATGATGTTTAAAAAAAGTTGATATTGCTTTCCATTTCCTGAGGTACCGCTTGGATGGTAAAATTTTTCCATGGCTTAAATAGGTTATGGAAACAAAAAGTGACAAATTCTAAAAAATAGCATGAGCGCCAAATAAGTTTAGCCAAGAATGAATCAGAGGATCCTCTTCCTTTCTCTTTCGCAGGTTTCTGTAGTTTTGATAATTAGTGCCAGCCAATTCACTTTGCCATCTCATTTGAGTAATGGAACTCTTCGGGAAAAAGTCTGGGAAGAGCATTTTAACTTGTGTCATGTCCGTTGAATTAATGTTGTCTGTTTGTCTCTTTTTAACATTGCGGTTTTTTCCTTTGTGAGATCTTGTCCCTTCTCCAGTCTTAATTGTTTTTGTAGGTTCACCAGTACATTCCTGAGAAATCGAATGATCATGTTCCATGTCAGTTTTATTGCGTACTCGTCTGGTGTAATGAGAGCCAATTCTTTTTCTCCTTAGAGTTGAAAAATCAAGGGATCTTCCAAATTGTTTTCGTGGCAGCGCTGAATCCAAACAATAATTGCTGCTCTCTTCTGGTTCTGATGTTTCCTCGATCGTGTCGAGTCGGACGAGAGGAGCTCTTTTGGTTATCCTTTCCATTTAATTGCGTATGTCTTGAATAAAAGTTTTCTCGTCTTGTGAAGAATTCACGGTCTGCTAAGATGTCGATTGTCACAGCTCAACTGAGAATGCCAAGATAAGATTATGCTTGCTTTCTTTTATGCCCATGCAGACACCAGTGGCTGACAATTTTGTCTGCCAGGCTGTTCAAGCTTAAATTTAGAATACTGACAGGAAATGATAATCATGCGAAAGAGACCGAAATAGCCTCTGATTCAACGTCGCAGATGTGACACAGTTGAGTCGTTACAATAGCTTGAATGTTTACGGTGGTAGCATGTAGCGTCACAAACCTCATCAATATTTACTCAGCGGTGTAAGCCATGACCAATTAAAGTCGTGTAGTACTGTTGAAAAGAAAATATTGCAAATCGTAAATAGCCATGATGATAAATGAAAAACCCTCTTTCCTTTTTCACTGAGAACGGAAAAGGTTTCTTACCATTAAACCAATTAACAGTCTGATTAGTATTAGTAACTTTCAGTTCAACCATGAGGTAATATCAATATATATATTTGTACCGCACAGATTTGATTTGAGTCTTAGATTTCAAAAACATCTTTGAACGTCAAAACAAAGTTTATCAAAAGTAACATTTATTGAAATGTTCACATGACGCAATTCTGTAGCTATCTTTTATCTCTCTTTTAATTCACAACTTCTCAAGAGCTGTTTAGAAACCCGGTCAGTTCGGAATCGATTGCGATATCATTTTAGCATGAATTTGAACGTAAACAACACGTTTTCAACATTTCGAGATACTTCATATTTTCGTTGTGAGATTTGTCATCTGTGCGGTACAAAATAAATCATGTATGTTTACGTATTTCAGTTGGAAAACGTCTACGTGATTAGGTAGGTGGACTGTTGCAAGGAATATGAGTGGCTTGGAACCACATTAAAAATGAAGAAATTGTATGTGCTTTAAATTCGATTTAAGCGGCCCAGGATTAATACCAGCCGGCGAGATACTTCTGCCTTGCCAAAGGAAAAAAAGTAGAAAGCGAAAGCGTTTTACTTGAAAACTCGTCGTAAATATCTTGAACGTAAACAGGTAGGTGTAAGAAAGCCGCAAACTGGAGTCATTTTTTATTTAAAACCACTCTAATAACATGTACCAAACTTATTGACGCCCTAATCGCGTCTCATCAGCAGTATGGAAGCTGTTTTTCGTGTTGTGGACCCACTTCAGGTTTACGCCAGTCTGCATAGACTGGCAGACGACGAGAACTTGTGCGTACAAAGACGCATCTGCCGTGTAATGCAGTATGGTAATAAGGGAAAAAAAAACTTGCCTATATCTGCCATACTCAGCAGACACTGCGAAAAGTGGTCTTGAAAATTTAAATTGGAGCGCATAGTCAGTGTCTGGCTGTTTTGTTTCTATACTATACACAAATAACCGCGTTCACCTCTAATATGCGTGGGTACCCTATGACATTCTTCTTTGAAAAGAGCAAACAGTTGCAAAAGCCTCAAAAATAGAAATTTAGGACCTCAATTTTAAATTCAGAGAGAGAGTTTTATGGCAAATTACACAAAAAAACTTAGATATTTTTTGATCTATTTCAGATCCTAATCGGCAAATATTGTGGCTCGAAATCGAACGGCAAAAGCACTGATTTCAGAAACAGAAAAAAAATGAATATATGGAGAAACTGCTAAATAAGTAACAAGTGTTTGCCTCATTTAACAAACACCTTGAGGGAAGTGTGATTTTTCGTAATGAAAATATATGTGAAATAGCTTTAGAACTCAAGACGCATTAAGACTGGCAATAAAGATAAAGATAATCACTACTTACTAGCAGTACCAGAATACTTATGCGAGCTCGAGAAGTGTTGTTGTAAGAAGGTTTTTTTTCGCAACTATGCACATACTGCCATAATTTAGGCCAATTAAAATGTTGACTATCTAAGATAACTTCAGAAATATGCATATGAGCTAATTTCAGTTGAGTGCAGCCACGTCGCTACTCAATCATGATACTATTTCAGAAATGGTTCGATTTTTCCAAATTAAGAACTTTGAATCACAGACACAACTGAACTAAAACATAGATATTCGTAAGATTTCCAAAAACGTCTTTAGTGTGGGCCGGAGTCTACAATACAATGAAATGAATCATGGTTGGCACTTGTTTAAAGCAAAGCAAATAACGAAAGTTTTTTTGGATTTTCTGTTGTAGAATCATTTAAAGAGCAGGTACCCCTTTGAGTCATAAGTGCAGCTGTCGTTCCCAGCGGAAACAATTTTAACGAATGTACCGATCCTGTTAAATGTGAATATCCAAATAATACCTTCGATCTTTTTTAGAAAGATTCGGTATCGGATTCACCTTTCGGTTTGGTTTGACCTAAGAAAATACAACCTTAACTCTAAAATAAGAAAGGTTTAGAGCCAGGAGATCATCGAACAACTTTGAACCAATAACATATGCTAGCCAAGAGCAGTTTTCAGTTGAGTGTTTACAAACCAAACCAAAGTGATCGCAGACTTTAATTAGAACAGAGGCTTACATCATCATTAACTAATAGGAGCTCAAAGTAAAAACAGACCAACTGCCTTAAGCGCCGGAAAACGCGTGAGACTAGGTTACGAGTGGTTTATTTTGCGTCTGACTTGTTGACAGGGTGATGCGAGTTTTTTTTTTTTTCTATCAATCACAATGCGAAGTATAGAAAAACCAAAGCAACCCTGATTTACTTTTGACACTCATATTTGAAAACTGCTCTCGTGGAAAATTGAAAGTTCTTTTCGCGGAATAGTCCGCCAAACCCGAAATCGGGTGCTGTATCATTGAATTTACATCCGCAAATTCAATGATACAGCAAGATTTCCGTGCACTGATCAATGAACTTTCCACCTACACAAAATGTATTGTTTTCTATTTTCAGAACAGCTTTTAGAACATTTCCTGTTACAGTTAATCTTAGCCTGGGGGTCACGTTATACGAACAACACAACATCATCAAGAGTGAAAGAGCGGTATTTGATTGCAAAGGCGCAGACCATTCATGATGCCTGCTTTGATAGAATAAGACAGAATGAGAGAGGAAGCCAAAATATTGTTAAACTGGAAAAATATGTTTGTTCCAAAAGTAATTATTGATCAATGTGTGCAATGGCTTGACAGTCCATTATCATCTCGTATTGTTTAGAAACTGAAGCCGGAGAGAATTTAATTCAACAGCTGATAAGTTGAACGGAATATTCACCTAACCTCGCCTATTTTGTAATGAGTTTACCATAGGAACTTCTTATCTCTACGGCCGCTGTTCGGCTAAGGTGTTGGGCGGGAAAGCTCATCATTCAGATTCTAGATAAGTTATCTAGTGGCTGAAAGATTACCTTGTACGTTTCTCCACACTAGGTTGTGAGCAACAACAGATTCACCCTCTCACCTTTGCGCTCTGACCGCGGTTTTTAAAGCCGCCGGAAACTCAAAGGCCGCTTCTGATAATTCCGTTCCGCACGGTTTAGAAATACATATATGTTTTTAAACTAAATCTGACCAAAATAACCGTCCTTTCGCTTCTCATTTACACCATCATGAAGCTGCGATTCAACTCTAACCTTTCAGCCATGAGCGAAATTAGGCACCGGATGCTTGTATATCATTTCTGATGGTTTCAGACTTCACGCAGATTTAAAATCAGTAGCGCAAATATCACGTTTATTTTTCTATTCTTGCATCCTGACATATTTTCTCGCGTGTATTTCATCAACTTTGCGAGAAAAAGCATTGGCGGCGTATGCCGATTTAAACACCGTCAAGTCAAAATAAAACCTCGAATGTTTTAGTAAATCGAATGGTGAAGGATAATTTGTCGTGTAATTGCAGTGAAATTCATAAACAACAAGCTCGACCGTTTTAAACTTAGATTTATCAAAACAGACAGGTTTTGCCTGCAGGTAATGTGATTATTTCAAATTTGATTTTGACGCGGATCCAAACCACCTCCAGCTATTCATTTAACATAAAACCTTTCCAACCTGCACGAAAACAACAAACAGTAGTCTAATGCTAGCTTTTAAACTTCTATTTTTAAGAATTGCGGTAAATACAATAAATTGCCACTCGAAAACTAGTATGTACTACCGTTCTACCAGCTGAGGGGAGAAAACAACCACAGAATACTTTGCAACCAGCAGCCCACTGAAGTTAAATGTGCAACATTTTCCGACAAACTCTAAGGCGACATTTTCAATATCTGGCTTCAGTCATCCTATATTTCTCTGAACTGATCGAAAGTAAAGACACAAGGTAAAATATTTCTAAGAAAACGATAACTGTGCGCAGATCCAGTGTCATTTCTTGACAAATAGCGTGCATTAAAAGGTTTGAAAAGATCTTGTTTTCTGTTTTGTGAATAAGTGTCCTTCAGGCTTTTAGTCAAAGTAGTGATGAAATAGACTCTTACAAGAAACCTAAGTATAAAGATCTCAGATTTTATACTCTTGTCAGCTAAGAAGTTTTGGAGTATTCCTTTTTTGTCATTAATATCATCACTCTCTATGTTATCCCCAGAAAAGACTAGCAGTGTAAGAATTGTTCCTTCATGAGAACGAGTAAAGGTGATGTCTAATGGACGCATGCGCTTCCTCCATATAAGCTTAACCACGATTGAATCAGCGGGTCGAACCCTTGTTCCGCCTTCAAATGTGTCTGAACCTTGTCTTTGCACATTTCTTTGAAACGTGGTTCGTTGCAACCGGAGAAAAATTCTGGAAAAAGCCTTTCGACTTGACTCTGCTGACTATTCGCTTTTTGGTGACTTTTAAGCTGATCGGTTTTTTGTGATAGCTGTTCTGTAAAGCCCACTTGCACGTGACACGTTACCGGCGCCCTTTCCATTTCACGTGTTGATGTCTGTGTTTCCTTGCAGGGTCTTGCTGATGTCTTGTAAAATGGCCTTAATTCTGCTTAAAGCTGAAATGTAGGAAAAGATATGGTTTTTTTTGAGTTGAACCTCCA